TTCCTTGTTGTATTTATCTGCATTTTTCTCTCTCGTATTTATTAAAAGAAGTTGTTGTGTTTGTGGTGAGAGAGGAGAGTCTGCTTCTTACCTTACCTTCTCCTCTTCCTTCTTGTCTTTCTCTTTTTAGCTTTTTTCTTTTTTGTTTTTTTCGGTTTTGTTTTTGTTTTAGCTTTTTTCTTTGTTTTAGTTTTGGTCTTTTTCTTTTTGTTTTGCTTTGCTGTTTTCTTCTTTGCTTTGTCAGCAGCTGTCTTCGCTTTCTTTTCCTTCTTCTTTGCTGCTTTTGCTGCAGCTTTTTCTTTCTTTGCTGCTGCAGCTTTCTCCTTTTTTGCTGCAGCTTTCTCTTTCTTTGCTGCAGCTTTCTCTTTCTTTGCTGCAGCTTTCTCTGCCTTTGCTGCTGCCTTGTCTGCTTTTGCTGCTGCTTTATCTTTTTTCCCTGTTTCAGTTGCTTTGTTCTGGTCCCCTGCCTTTGCTTCTTTTTTACCTTTTGTTTTTGAAGCTCCCTTCTCTGCGCTCGCCCCCTTGTCTTTTGCTGCTGCCTTGTCTTTTGCTGCTGTCTTGTCTTTTGCTGCTGCCTTGTCTTTTGCTGCTGTCTTGTCTTTTGCTGCTGCCTTGTCTGCTGTTTTTTCCTTTGCTGCTGCTTTCTCTTTTTTCTGTTCTTGTTTCGCCGCTGCTTTCTCTGATTTCTTTTCTTTTGCTGCTGCTTTGTCTCCTTTTCCCTCTTTTGCTGCTGCCTTATCTCCCTTTGTCTCCTTTGCTGCTGCCTTTTCTGTTTTTTTCTCTTTCGCTTTTGCCTCTGCTTTGTCTCCTGTTTTGTCTTTCCCTGCTGCTTTTTCTTTCTTTCCTGCTTTGCCTTCGGCTTTGTTTTCTGTTTTCTTTTCTTTTTTATTTCCTTTGTCTCCCGCTGCCTTTTGTGTTGCGTCTCCTTTTGCTCCCTTTGCTGTCTGTTGATTATCTGCTTTTTGTTTGTCTCCTTTGGTTTTCTTTTTGTCTCCTTTTGCTGCTTTGTCTCCTCCTTTCCCTTTATCTGCTCCCTTGTCTGCTGCTTTGTCTCCTCCTTTGCCTCCTTTGTCTCCTCCTTTGCCTCCTCCTTTGTCTCCTCCTTTTTCTGCTGCTTTGTCTCCTCCTTTGCCTCCTTTGTCTCCTCCTTTGCCTCCTTTGTCTCCTCCCTTATCTCCTCCTTTGCCTTTTTTGTCTCCACCTTTGCCTCCTCCTTTGTCTCCTCCTTTGTCTCCTCCTTTTCCTCCTCCTTTGTCTCCTCCTTTGCTGCCTTTGTCTCCTTTGTCTCCTCCTTTGCTGCCTTTGTCTCCTCCCTTTCCCCCCTTATCTCCTCCTTTGTCTCCTTTGCTTCCTTTGTCTCCTTTTGCTCCTTTATCACCTCCTTTATCTCCTTTGCCTCCTTTGTCTCCTTTGCCTCCTTTGTCTGCTGTTTTTTCTTCTTTCTTTTTATCTTTTTTCTGTTTCTTTTCGTTTTTATTTTGGCTGTCTCCTCCCCCTTTATCGCCTTTACCAGATTTATCTTTGCCTTTTGCTTCTCCTCCCTCTTTTCCTTTTTTTGTTTTTTCTTTTCCTTTCTCTTTTCCTTCTCCTTTTGCTTGTTTCTCTTTTGGTCTGGCTCCTTCTTTCAGTGCTTTCTGTTCATCTTTCTGTTTTTTTTCCTGTTCTTTTGCATCTTTCTCTTTTTGTTTTGCTTCTTTCTCTGCCATTTTCTCTTCTTTTCTTCTTTTTTTCTCTTCCTTCTCTGCTC